GCGGCACCGGCACCGGCACCGGGCCCGGGCCCGCCCGCCGCCCGCGCTCACCTCGCCGTCCGCCAGCAGCAGCCGCAGCTCCCGCAGGCTCTCGTTAATGCGCGCCCGCCGCCGCCTCTCCACCAGCGGCTTCCTCGTCTGCGGGGGCAAGAGGCTCGGCTCGGCTCGGCACGGCTCGGCTCGGCTCGGCACGGTCCGGCCTGGCCCGGCCCCGCTCACCTTCCTGTCCCTGCGCGCATCCAGGCGCGGCTCGTCCGCCCGCAGGGACGGCGCCATGGCGGAGCGGAGCGGAGCGGAGCCGAGCCGAGCCGAGCCGAGCCGAGCCGAGCCGAGCCGAGCCGCCTCCCCGCCCCCGCGCCGCGCGCCCGCCCCACATATAGCGCCTCATTTGCATGTCAATGAGCGCATTGGCCGCGCCGCGCGGGGCCCGGCCGCGGCCCGCGGCGAACGGGCCAATGGGCGGAGGGCGCTTTGTCCGTGCGCACCGCGGGGGCGGGGCTGCCGCCGCCATTGCGCCCCCTGCGACGCGACATGGCGGCGGAGCGCCGGGCCGAGCCTAGCCAAGCCTAGCTTAGCCGGGCCGGGCCGCACCGAACCGGCCCCCGTCGCGCCTCTCCCAGCGGGGTTGTGGCCTGGTTCTGTTCCCGCACCCGCAGCGGGTAGCGGATAAAACAAACCCGAACCGCCTCCGTGTTGTTGTTGTGTTCCGTGTGTATCGGGTGCTCGATGGGAGTGTGTCAGGGGAACTCGCGTGGGCCTCCCCGTAAGGGCAGGTGTGCCGCCGTGGGCAGCTGGCCCGTTTAAAGTTTGATTTTTTGTGCATTTTCATATTCCTTTATGTGTTTAGGAGGGGGCAGAGTGCAGGAGGGGGCAGGGAGGCGCCCAGGCCAGGCTTGAGCTCTGTGCTGGCCGGGTCCTCCAARGGGCTCGTGCGGATGGATCCCATTCCCGGCCAAAGGAGCGTGGGGGCCCCGGCGCTGCCCGTGGGCTCTGCTGTCACTGGTGGCCGTTGCCGTGGGTCCCACACAGCCCGCGTGGCGCCGCCGGCCCCGCAGGCAGCGCCGGGTTGGGAACGGGCCGCCCTGCCCGTGGCAGCGTTCGTCTGAGCTGCGGGGCGATGATGGGCCCCGTCCCTGGTCTTGGCTCGGTCGGAAGCACTCGCGGATTTAAGCCTGGGCCTTGCGGTGACGACGCCGGCTTGGAGCGCGTGCCGAGAAAGCGGGCGCCACGTCCGGATCTCCGCGTTGCCTCACGTGCGGGAACGGCAGCGCGTCCGCGGGCAACGCGAGCCGCTTCCCGGCGGGACAGGGAATTCGGGAGCGGGAAGCCGCGGTGCGCGCAGGTATCTCGACGCGGTGCCGGTGGCAGCCGCGCCGGGGCCGCCCRGGAGGCCCTGGCACCGCCGCGGCCGCCGGGACAGCCTTTGTTCCCTGTTCTTTGTGCTCCGCGCGCGGCGCTGCCGCCGTGTTCCGCATGAGGGGCAGCCCTCGGCAGCTGCTCTGGCTCCCCGGCCAGCGCGGCTGCTCCCGGCGGGAAAGGCGCCGCCGGCCCCGGCGCTCCCAGCTGCTGCTCGCTCTTCCCGAGCGTTCCCTTTTCCCTGGCGGGGTGGCAGCAGCCCCAGTTACAGCCCTTTTACCCCGTGTTGATCTGCRCTCAGTGTCTTCGGCATGTGGAGCTTACTTGGGCGATTCCCTCCAGGAAGGACCTGGATTGCTCCCACACGCCGCTCTCATCTTCCAGGTGCTGCAGTAACGTCCAGGCTCCCGTTGTGCCGATGCTCGTTGATAAACGAGGACGCCGGCGCAGAGCCGCTYGGCAGCCCCGAGACGGGAGAGCATCAGAGACTGTCCCCTGCAGCGGGGTCAGACCACACAGCTTTTTGTACAACCATTGGCAACAGATTGTGTTTTCAGAAAGATRTTTTTCCTGCTTTTTCCTTTCATCTTACAGCACAAAAGGCTCAGATTTGGGCCAAGAGTTTGCTCTATGGCTGGCACATTTCATTACCTTAAATCGAAGCAGAATTGGATGGTACCTGCGTGTGCCTGATTAGATCTGTCCTGCCGGCTGTGATGAACTCAGTGCACTGTGTAACAAGTCGTTGCTGATCTCTTCACTGATACGATTAATGCAGACTAAGCACAAACGTTCAGGTCAGGCACATAACATTTTTATCTTTAAACAAGTAGAGACACTGCATTTTGTGCCTAGCCTGGAGAGAAAAGGACAATTGTAAGGATGCAAACTACAGCCAAGCAGGGGATGTGGCAATTCTGAGGGAGCCACCTTTGTCCTAAACCCAGATCAGCTGTGTAGTGCCACTAGACATCTTGTTTAATACATGTATATATATGCACACACACACATATATATACACACACATGTACAACTATGCTTGTTAAAAACATATAGTAACATCAAATGTACATAATCTAGGTAAACTATGAACCCCATAAGAGACTGTAAGTGGGTTTTCACTTCTAAGAAAACATATTTTTTCCATATTTTCCATATTGCTTTTTGTATGTGGTCAGAAACATGCAAGCACTGTGTTTAACCTAGTGTAAATTCTGCTGATTTACACCAGACACATTGCACCCTTATGAGGCTGTAAATTCAGCCTGAAAAGAGAGAGTGGAATGTAATATGTGAGGGAGGTTTGTCTCGTGTCTTCTTCATTTCAGGGCCTGCTCCATGGCAGCTGGTGGGTGAGCAGCACAGCTGGGCTGGGATGGCTGCAGAGGGTCAGACACGGCTGCAAAGTCCAGTTTCTTTTCTGAAGTGGCTGGAACTGGTGGCAAGGTAAGTTTACACACAGCAAGCTCTTGTGCTGGGCTGGGCCTTTCTGCATTGTCCCTGAAAAACTGCACAGCAAATGAGTTAACAAACGCTGGTGACATTTGTGCTGTACATTAAAAACATATCAAATGTGTATTAAAAATGTCAGGGCGCTATGTGACCTGAGTCACTGCAGTCTGTCTGCTGTGGCCCACACCTGCCATGGGGCCTTTTGGTGCCATGTTAAACTAGCTCCATCGCATCAGGTAGAGCAGTTTGTAATCACCTCATGCATTCTAATATAAATGTCAGCTGTAATCTACAATTGAACAAGCATTTTGTAGATACCTTTTCTAAAACTTCATTGCTTGCCCCTGCCTAGTGCTTCCTGCAGGAGGTTTGGTAAAGCCTGTCTATTTATCCATGTAGTTCTTTACAGGCTTAAACCAGTACTGGGGCCTCCCAATAGCGAGGTGCATGTGTGCTGCTCCCCTCCCTGTGGATCACTGAGCCTTTCCAAAGGTGGAGAGCTCTGCAGCTGCCACACGTAATGGAACTGCAGCTAATCTAGGGGAGCAGCATGGATTTAGCTGAGATGACAGGGTCRTGGCTTTGCTGTCAGTCTGCATATATATAAATGTATATAGTGTTTATATGCAACACAACTGGTTTTGGTTCTTTGTAGATCATAGGTTCTCACTCGTGGCCCTGTGGCAGCAGGGACTAAGACATCTACTGTGGAAAACAACCCCGTAACTACAGCCGCCTGCTACATGTTTTGGAGTCACAGGTAACTTGTAACTTCTCATGGAGTGGGAGCTTCTGCCACATAACTCCCTGTCTCCCTTTTCACAGTATTGGTTCTGCTTAAACAGCCTTTTCCTCCCCGAGGAATATCCATGGAGAAATAATGCACCTCTGACATGTTTTAGGACTTCTTGTCGTTATCAACAAGTGTGGTGCCTGTTGTGTCCTTGGGCTGGAGACTGACACTATCCTCCCTTTCAGCAGGTAATCCAGGCTCTCCATGAATAACACAATTAGAGCGCAGTATAAAGACGTGACATGCATGGCCAGGCTCCCTTGGAAATGCTTGAGTGATTTCTTTCACAGGTGCTATAACATCCCGTTGCCTTTGAAGGCAAAAGTTCCTGTTAGAGATATATGTCAACCTTATAAATATTAATAGTGCATATAAATTTTGGTGGGTGTAAACTGTTAGATTAATGGCTGAATTGCTCCTTAGGCATSAGTTCAGTGTCCTCTAGTTTACGCTTACAGTAACAAATACCAACTGCTGAGGAGGCAGATCAAGCAGAGAGCTGTCTTTTCCCTGCTCCTCTCCCCATGGTCTCCTCACAAATCAGTGTGTGTTGTGGTCAGTCGCCTGCCTTGTCTCTCTTGGAAACGAGTCCATCTCACAGAACCAGGGCACAGAGGAGCCGGCCTGGGGCAGGAACAGCTGAGAGCTGCAGGCACTAAGTAAGGAGGATGAGGAAGGCTGGACGGGGAGGTCTGCAGCATTTCTCATCACACTCATCATGTTCCTTTTGGTGCTATTGATTTCTGTGTCTGTTACTCCAAGGACACCATTCGCTGTCTTGAGCTTGTCCCTCTCAAAAGCCATAAGGCTTTTCCTAAACTTCTCTTTATGAGCACAGCGTTGGCAGGAATGCTTGTGCCCATCAGCTGGGGCCCAGAAGAACAGGTCATGCCAACAACGTTACTGTTGCTGTATCCTTGTAAACAGTGATGTTTACGTCACTGGTCCTCCTCTTTTAAGATTTTTTTTTTTTATTGGTTCCTAAATGACTTCCAGGTGTCCTTGTTAATATACATTTATCTACATTTTTCTTTAGAGATGGTGCCAAAGCACAGCCCTGAGTAAGGCTGAAAGCTTTTCCTAAACGCRTGCCCTTCAGGAGATGTCCTTCCCGACCGGCGGGATCACTCCCAGCCTGTTCTTCTGTCAGCGACACTGCACGTTTGTTGACAGGACACAGGTTTTATTTTTACCAGATTAACATGTGCATAATCAGRCTCTGAACTTTGCTCTGGGGTTTTGTGAAATGCTCTAGGAAATGCTTTTATTCATAATCCCTTGCAGGTTGGTAGTGATTTGCAAAATACATATCTGTAAGTGGGGAGAATTCTGGAGGGCCTTACGTTTGTAAGGGCCTTTTTAGCAATGCCAAGATGCTTTTAACTGTCAGTTTTGGTCAACACCGTCCTTCTCTAAACCAGAATAAGAGATATTTTACAGACTGAGACYAGCAGCCTTCGCTTGAGGTGACTGTCCAGCCGTGGTCTCATGGGCTGGCTTTTGCTTGCACGGGCTGTGCAGTTGTGCTCAAGCTCCCCCTTGGCGTGGGACTTAAAGTAGAAATCAGTTGCCAGGTCATTTGCAACTATCTTGTTTTKCTAACAAATTAGAAAGGCCTTATTTTGGTTTTGGGGATTATTTGATTTTTCTTTTTCCCTAAGCCCTAGAGTAAGGG